GTTTGATATTTTAATTTGAAGTATGGTAGCTATATGAAATATTATTGGTTAAAGATCACATGTATACAGATTCAAGGCGGAGATATTATAGTCGACTAAGTCGATTTTTTGAAAAATCGACTGACTAAGTCGACTAAGAGTTAAATCGACTACAAACACTACCTTGAATTATATCCGAAAGATATATCGCTAAAAGTATAAATTTCTTTTTGTTAAATATAAATTACCGTATCGTCTTGAAATAACGTCTCAGGAGCGTTATTTCGAAACACATTATTTCCAAAGAGCTAAGATTTAATTTTACGATTTTTTAAAAATAAACTTATTGTTTGTATTTTTCAAAATTAATTCTTAACTCTAAAAAATAATGTATCTTGAAATAACGCTCCGGGGCGTTATTTCGCGATGATACGGTACTAATTAAAAAACCCCACTAAATTTTCAATTCTGGTCTAGTGCCGGGTATAATACATGGCCTTTATCAATAGTCATTTACAGTACACTGAAAAAGCTCTTGAAATATAGTAATAAATAATCAAAGATAAAACTATATATAACAAAAATTAGGTAGTAAACCTTCAAGTTACTGATTCAATAAAGCATAATTATTGTCACAAGATATTAGGCTTCTGTGGCGCGTCACGTTAGCGTTAGTGTGATCAGGTTATTTGACCGGTATCAAAGATGCTGGTCATTGGTCACATTAGGTTTGGAATACGTCAAACGCGTTATTTAGGATATTTAATACGCGTCGTAAAGGTCACCATAATTGGCAAGTATACAAATGCTATCATAATAAACAATGTTGATTTAGTTTCGACTTTTCAAGATTATATAATGTCTTCCATTTTTCTTTAGCTTTGACGCTGCTTCAATTTCTTTATTACTATCATAGAATCTTTCGATCTGTTTAAAGGAATGGGGGAAACCGAGGCTCTTCAAAATGAATTGAATGATGTTTTAAAAAAATTTCCGATGTTTGAAGGAATATTACAAGTAGTTGACAGAGTTGGAGTTGGCAAGTTAATTTTTTACATTTATAATACCACAAATACAATATGGTTAAAAAAAAATTTATTTTACGCTATTTGATTAAATTGGTGTCAGCAATTAATGACACGTTTAACGGTTCTCTAAAAAAAAAAAAAAAAAAAAAAAAAAAAAAAAATTATAGGAACTTTTGGTGCGGTATACAAAGCACGTAATTTGCGGTATGAAGGAAACGAAAATACTGATTCAGCATATGGTAGTAGGAGCCCTTCGCCTACAGTAGCTAATATGGAAGAAAAGCATGGGATAAAACGTAAATTCGTGGATGAAGAATATTTTAAAAGTATAAAATACGTCGCTATAAAAAAGATAATTCTTAATTATTCTATCGGAAGAGTTGCTGAAGAAATTTCAATTTTACGTGAATTAAGGTAAAGAAGTTGTTTTAATTTATATACCGTGTTAAATCTTTTTTTTCGCCAACTAAATTGATTAATCGGTCTTGCTATAGAGGATACAATAGTATTATTAAACTTTTGTCGGCTCATAGATATGAAGACGAAGTGATTCTTATTACTCCACATTTCGAACATGATAAATTTCGGGTAAATTGGTCAAAACATGGAAAACATTCAAACTCACCCAACATATGATTTATTCTTTATTTTATTTATATTAGAATTTTTATCAAAAAATGACAATTGAAGATATCAAATCGTATTTTCGCTCGCTTTTTGAAGCACTAAGGGATGCACATTCTCATAATATTGTTCATAGAGATGTGAAGCCGGGTAATTTTCTTTATAACATGAAAGAAAAGAAGGGAATCTTGGTAGACTTTGGCCTTGCAGAGGTAATGTTTACATTTTGCTTGTTTCATGTGTTATGCGATTTTTTTCCTTATATATATGTTTTTAGAGGTTGAGTGCAACGAATTCCTACCTCGATAAGATATATGATGTTCCCAATGTAGGAACAGTCCAAGTTATTAACCGTTTTCCTTCGGTAGTTGGTCAAATTTCGATCGAGCCTTCCCAATCCAACAAGCCAGCAGTAAAACGAGTTCGTACATTGGCAACTTCAAAAAAGTTGACCAAACAGCAAATAATCGACGAATTGTATTTTATTGTTTTATTTATCTCTTGCCTATTTCATAATGTATTGTCACTAATTAATAAATATTATTAGAACGAAGAGAGGTTTCGTTGATTTGGATCCAAAAGGTTATGAAAATAAACCCGGATGGAGAGCAAATAGAGCAGGTACAAGAGGTTTTCGTGCCCCGGAAGTTTTATTTAGAGTTGAAAAACAAACAACTGGTAAGTCACATCTTACCTCAGCAAACTTTGCAAAAAGGCTTTTTAATTTAATTAAATCTATTCAAAAAGCGATCGATATCTGGTCCGCGGGTGTCATCTTGATCACCATATTATCACATCATTATCCGTTTTTCAAATCAACTGATGACGCAGACGCATTTTACGAGTTGGGAATCTTATTTGGAAAAAAATTAATGCACGATCTAGCAACGGAACATGGTACGAAACTTTTTGATTTAAGTAATTACACCATATTACTGACAAATTAGTAGAGAATTTACGATTTATATTTTAAAGAAAGGTACTACCGAACCGATATTCCCCTGATATACGACCTAGGACTGCGATTTGATAAACTCTTGCACACGATGAGACGAGATTTATTTCCTAAAGATAATATACAATTGCTTAATGAAGTTTACAATGCTATCGATTTGTTGAAAATGTGTTTAGAACCGTACCCGAGTAAACGAATCACGGCTACTGAAGCACTCAAACACCCCTTTTTATCAAGTTAACATTTGTATAATAATATCAATGTTAGCAATTTAGATAATTTGTATATAAAAAAATTTAAAAATTGCTATTTAAAACTTTATAGATAGATTTAATAATAATTTTCTAGAGTAATAAAATTGCTTTAATTACTATCTTTTATAAGCCAGTAGCGATGGCTTTATGGTTATTAAGAAGATTTTTACGCGTGTGCTTCTTGCTTTGAGGAAGAGATAGTGAGTTTCATTCTGATTGGCTAAAAAGCTAATAGAAAACGGGCCCCATGCTCTTAACTCTAAAACGACACTCACGACTCAGAAGTTTATTTACTTTAACGAGTAGGTATAGGGCAGTGTTGGTAATTAGTTTTTGGACACCGTATATATATATCTATATATTTTGTGCCCCAATTTGTCCCAGATGTCAATTGGCCTAAAATAATTAATTTGAGCTAGGTGTTTAGATAAACTTTAGTAAATTGACATCTGAGCCAGCCGTCCTAATTGACGGTTGAGACAAATTTACAACATATATATATGTAGCATACAAAATTTCAAGATTAACGTTAAGCAAAATATCGATATCGGTTTTCAAGCCATTAATTATAGTCGGACATATTACTCGTGACTACGATCTCTTATGAATAGTGCCGATCGCGACAAAAAAAAAGTTTAGATTAGAAGTCAGATGTCCATCAAATTTTTAATAATGTCCTTTGATATTAATTCTGAAGAAACGCAAAAAAATATCCCAACAAATTCAATACCCATAAAATCCGAAAAGCCCATTGATTTATTAGAAGAAAGTAAAAATGAAAAAAAATTCGAAAATTGGCGAAAAAGTTTAATGTATATCACAGGTTTAGGTTTATCAGAAAAAGAAAAGGCTGAATACAAAATAGAATTAGAAAGAAAAATAAGTGATTATCAGCATAAAAAGTGTGAAAAATGGCGGGATGACTTAATGAAAAGTAGTATGTGGTTGAGTACATTTTTCTTTTCTGTTTAAAGTTAAAAGGACTAATTTATTTACTTAATTTCTAGGCGCAATTGTAGTTTTTATGCTAAAAAATTTAGAGGACGCAGGATGTAAACCAGATAAAAAACATTTTAAATGCCTACCATGTGATAATACGCGCAGCGGAGGATTTTCTCCTGATCACGGTATAATGCTGTGTCAAAACAGATTTTATAGTAAACGTCATATAGAAGATACAATGGTACACGAAATGATACATTTGTATGATCATTGTCGATTTAAAGTGGATTGGAATAGTTGTTACCACCATGCGTGTAGTGAGGTTTGTTATTTCTTGTCCTTTATTGAAATTGTAATTATATAATACTTTTTTACTATCTGCAAATAGGTTCGAGCTGCAGCTTTGAGTGGTGACTGTAAATGGTCGCGTGAAATTAAACGTGGATTTTTTAACTTTACGAAACAACATCAGGTTCATAAATACATGCTAATTAATTTACATTTTGTGTATTTATTTTTTTTCTTTAAATATCTTGCGTAATTGCAATGTTATTGTTTTAACATAAAGGCTTGTGCAAAGAGACGTGCTATACTTTCTGTTCAGAAGAACGCGTCTTGCTCAGCTCCCGGTGTAGCGGAAAAAGTGGTCAATGAAGTTTTTGAAAGTTGCTTTAACGACACACGACCATTTGATGAAATTTATTAAATCTTTTATTCGAAATTGTTATTAACAAAACATTAATATTATTATATTATGTGTCAAAGTAGAATTGTTAAGCTGGTATTCTGAGTAAAATAAAATCACAAGATCAATGTAAAATACTATTCGCATCCTAGTTTCTAGTAAAGATTTGAGGAGTCAAATTCTTTTGTCGCTATTTTATAGCATTAGCACAACGCAGTGTAATTCGCCTGAAATATGTAAATATTGTATACACAAGTTGTTTAAATCAGTTCTAAATTTCTAGAATTTATTATAGATTTGAAAAAAATCTAGATGTGCATTACAATTATAGATAGATAATAAATAAATGGGCTAGGGGCTACAAAAAGAAAAAAATTGACAAATTTTTTAAAATTAATTTTTTATATAAATTAATTTAAAATAAGATCAGAATCATTTTTTACTTAATACACAAAAGTAGTTGTATTAATAAACTTTTGCAGTATAGCTTTTCAATATTTGCAATTTCTTATGATTTATTATAAAATTTATAATATAAAAATTGATTTTTTACACCATTAATATTAAAAAAAAAAAAATTTTGATTTTTTTTTTTTTCCTTTAGCAATCCTGTTTACTTTATTATGGGAATATACTTTCATCCTTACATGGCATAAGAAATCTATAAGTGTTCCAACCAAAATGTAAACTCACCCATAGCATACTTCACAGATGCTATAACATCCACTTGCAGTCAGAGTAAACTATTAAACCGCTGTGTTTTGCCTAGATGTGACTTGCCTAGCAACACTTGGCCTTCTCCAGAGATTTGAAACTCATTCTGAACTTATTTCTCTTAGTTCCTTGACTGTTTGTTGCTTGTCCTGTCAAGATTTCTGCTCTATAATAGAATGCTGTCAAACTGATGATACTTTCTTATAGAGAAGGAAAAAAGAAAAAAAAAAGGATAATAGAAAATAAAAAAAAGATAAAAAACAAAACTAATACATTAAAGAAAATAGATACTAATATTAAAAAATATAAAAAAAACTAAACTAAAACCTAAAAGAAACTATCACTCAAAAGAAGAAAACCTGTTAACCAGGCAAAAACTTCTAATTATATAGAGTTACGATTTACTATTAAGTGCGAAAGTCTTGACAAGAAATATAAAACTAAAATAAAATGCATTATAATTCATACCAGAGATTAAAAATTATATACAGATGACTAAAGGATGCCTGTATATCTCTTTTCACTTTACTTTACTCTTTTAATTAAATCTATATCTTTATCTGAAAGTATAAGAATTTTGGAATCTCTACATGCTTTATTTAATGATCATGTGTTTGTATATTCTCAACAATATGACATGTAAGATATTCTTCCGAACACTCATCCAGTTACTAAATTTACCAGCACTGTCTATTTTATATATGTTGTTTGTCATCATACAAATTTTCCTGATATAGAAGTAGTAAATATTGTTGATTTTTTGGAGAGGATATACTAAATTCTTTACATTTTGTTGAAGAGAGAAAAATACTATATTTGTGAGAGCTCAAGACAATGAAGATGTTTTCAGTTGTTCATTATAGAACTAAAAAGTTTTAGACACTTGAGTCAGGAGTTTTTCACTACTACTACTATATTATCAAAATAACCTTTTTGGCTTGGATGCTGAATGTGCGAGAGAGTTCACCAAGAAGAAAAGCTTGACTCAAAGCACAAACCAACTATATACACCTGTTTTTCAGTATTTTACGTATAAGTCTTTGTCAACAACAGTATCAATAAGGAATCTCAGATAACTTCGGCCTTTTTAGAGTCTTGAATTTTCAAACTGTTTTGGTGCAGTCTTAGTTTAAGAGATTGTCAGAAAGAGTTAGATTGTTTATTGAAAAAATTTAATTTTGAAAATCTTCTTTTTTTTGATTTTTCTTTTTTAGCCCAAATATAGTAAGTTAAAAATCTATAGTTATAATAATTTACTATTTTTAAATTGTAGCAATTTTAGAAAAAATTTTGTTAAATTTTTAATATAAGGTTATACAAATTTAATATATTAGTTTTTATAATATAAAACTTTTAAACAGACTCAGCCGGCTGGCTTTTTTTTTAAATTTTTCATATATAAAAATTTATAAAATGTTTTTAAAAATTTTTAAAATATCCACCTGATTATTAAAATATACAAAAATTTTTTTACAAGTTTTTAAATTTTGATCTGGCCAGGTTATGAAAACCAATTAATTAAGTTTGTATAACTTAAATTTATTTTTAATTTTTTTTTAAAAAAATTATAAAAACAACTTTATTTAATTAAAAAAAATTATTCTTTTATTTTTAAAAATACAGTTTTTTTAAAAAAATAGAATATAAATTTTAGTTTAAATATTTTTGCTTAGTGATATAGGTCGTAGATAACTATCTAAGTTTCTGTAGTTTATCTTATATCATATAAATTAATATATAATACTGCAATATAAGTTGCAGTAGATAAGTGTTAAGGGTAGGGTGTACAAATTTCTAATTTCATATAAAATAGATTGTACATCAACTTTGTGTAATCAATTTTATATGATATCATGTAAACATCATATGATTTGACCAATCAGAATGAGCAATTTCTTGTGTAACCCCGGAAAAACATAGAGGCTCCTCGGAAAACTTTGGTAATATATGAAGTGGAATTTTCTTGAATAAAACAAGTTTCGAAACTATCATAACTATAAATAGAAGTTCTTGTCTGCATGCTATGAAATTTTGGTAAAAATTTGTTAAAGCATTAAAAAGTTTTGCTTGTGGCGAATTTTTACTTCCTATATAAAAATCTGTGATACTATATGAAAAATGATCTACGTACACCCTACCCTTAAAACGAAATTTTTTTTGATCGAATTCAATAAAAATTTTTTATATACCAATTCTGCAAATTGATTGGCCGATTTCTGACCCATTTATCATGTGATTTTTTCAAATCTGATAACCTCTCAAAACAGATACAGAACTCGTCCACCATGCATATCGGTTTTGAGAGGGCCAACAGTATTGGTAAATTACAACGTAATAATGTTATTCGGTTTCATGATAGTATGCACAAAT